ATTCTAGGGGAGAGTTCAGAGAAAATGGTTACTGAAAGGACAGGCATGGAACGAGTGAACTTCCTCACATAGGTTGGAAGTGACTGACACCTGAAATGTCAAGAGCAGGAGTGCGAACACCCTTGAATCCCGTTCCCCCACTCCCGTATTTCATCAGCAGCCGAGGGCTATTCACTGGCGTTTAGACATTCATTGCCGAACAATACGAAGCAGAAGGTCGCGGCCATGAATATTCATGGAATCTGCCATGTCGAAAGCTCCCAGCAAGGAAGGAAACAGTGATAAAATACTTTTCGGATTCCCAATAGAGAATGACTCGATTCGCAAGCCGAAATCTCGGTTGGAATCTCGGAATGTTCGCTTACCCTTCTGCGAGTAAAAACATATCCCATACATGTAGGGTCATCGTCCACTTCAGCCGAAATTAGCCGGCACAGTTTCCCTGAACACCTGTCTGGACTCATCGCATAGTAGATGCCCAGAAACGATGCAATGAACTTCGTGAATCTCTGATTAGCGCACATAGAGAACGTCAGATATTGCTCACATCTGAGGCGAGTTAAATAGCAAAATTTTACTGGAAAATAGTCTGAATGTGAACCCCAGTTTTGTTGACCGAGTAGCACTTGATGAATTTTGATTAACAATGGTAATGTCATAAACAGGTTCACCAAATTTAGACTTGGGAGCAAAAACAGTCAGCTTTCGCATATGTTCGCGTTTGTATAGTCTTAGCGAATGATTTATTGATGTTTTTTGTCAGTGTCACACGGAATCCGTTGATCTAGAGTCCTTGGAGGGACGCGTGGTGGGGGAGGGATTGAGACAGGGAGAGGGTAGACAACTAGAAGTAGCACAACCAGACGCTAATAAACAAGCAATCACCCAGTTTTTCCTATGTGGGTTTGTGACTGGGCTTTTTTCCACCGGTATTTGTGCGCAATGCCAAGTCTCTTTGAAAATTAACTATAGACACGGTATATTAAGGCCTGGTGAACCGAGCTGACACTATTGTAAGTCACAGATGTCAGTTTTGATGCAAATGAAGACATGTATAGTTTGATCTATCTTGTTAGTTTACAGTTAATAGTTCCCGGATATCAACTAGAAGACACGTCGTGGGATTGAGAAAAAACTCTACTATAAACTAGTGGATGAAAATTGCACCTACGGTCTTTCAAGTCTGTTTCGGACAGGTTACATGCACAGGCATCACCAAAATTTTTTCATTAAGAAAGTAAACTGTGGAACCTCAAGGATCGTACAACCTGAAGCATAAGGTGGCCTTAGTGCACCACATTCAGTTCAAGAATATCATAAACGAGTGATTCGACTGGGTTTCCCGTGAAAACTCAGTTGATATGCAGATGAGTGTGTTTGTCGAGATCTGTCCCCTTTGAGTTTAAGTAGTACATAAGACTGATTGAGACTCGGGACTGCGCCCACATGGTGAGGCTTAAAAAGGTCGAAATCGATCGTGGGCTGTCGGAGAGTTTTCAGAAAACTTGTGAGCAGATTCCTTGGATGAAGCTGTCTTCGGTTGTGTGATTTTCATCTTTACTTATGAGACTCTAAAGTAGAGCATGGTAGCAATAAAAACACATTTTAGGTGGAGTGGACTTCCGGTTTTTTGAACTCGAAGAAACATATGATAAAATGTGGTGTTTGGGAAAAAGTAAACATTGCCGCGAGTCTTTGTCATCCTAGAACGGTGCAGTCCGGTGATACGTAGAATTGCATTTTGTGGAAGAATTTGATGATCAGCACTATTTCTTCCGTTGAATACCTTGTAACGAGCTGTGAGGCGAACGTCCTCGTTGTAAAATCATGTGGACAAAAACTGAGTGTCGAACGGCAACAACTGAACTACAAAATGGGAAGATTACCAGAGAAAACAGATTATTTGCTCACACATTCACGGTGGGAAACAGACGAAGTCTGGTTTACAGTGGGAATGTTCCAATGCACTTCAGGTGCTCCACAATTATGTCATTTACAATAAGGGGAACGGCTACCGAGGTAGCACCCTTTTCATTGGGATCCTGGAATGCATTCTGCTAAACCGGCTAAACGCTCGCACAAAATTGGTCTGAGTGTGACTGACTATCTTGGCAGACATCAGCTGCAAAAAATTCCGGAAAGCAAACAACAATTTAATCGCTCTGTTTGGAGATTTCACAGACTCAAGGACGCTCTAGATAACTCCCCAAAACCTTGGCCTTCCGAACAGTGCCGTCTACATCACAAGTTTTCATCATTTTACCGGAAAATCCCGATTATGTGCCCGAGGAACCAAATCTACCGATCTCAAAATCGACCGAGGAGTGAGGTTGGATTGCATTCTGCCTTTTAGTCTGTGCTCCTTTTATCTCATCAAGAGAAGCATTTCACGCTCCCAAAGTTGACAACTCATGCACTTTCCTGGTGTTGACCAAATTTATTTGACTCTGACCTACTGAATCATGCACTCTGTCTATTTTTGTACATTTGAACTCATCCTCTCACATGAGCATCATAGACTGCTGATGTCTCACTTGGAATGAACTATCACAGAAAACAATTTTTTACCATCTTCATCCTTAACATAATCTCAGATGATTAGACAGTAACGCGTAGTCCACCACTCATTTGTTACGGAGTTCGTCCATCTTGCTCGGTCAGTGTCAGTAGTGGAGGAACACACCCAATATCCGAAATCCGATACCTTACATCTAGTGTTTGAGGACCTCGTGTCTAGCCACTTAGCCATTCACAGAAAAAATTTTTTACCATCTTCATCCTTAACATAATCTCAGATGATTAGACAGTAACGCGTAGTCCACCACTCATTTGTTACGGAGTTCGTCCATCTTGCTCGGTCAGTGTCAGTAGTGGAGGAACACACCCAATATCCGAAATCCGATACCTTACATCTAGTGATTGAGGACCTCGTGTCTGGCCACTTAGCCATTCTTATGCACAATTCCCCGTGTACCCGGGCCAACAGCTGCGTGGCTTTAATTTGTACCCTGGATCTTCCTAATTTGATGCATTGTAATTTGTCGGTCTTACCTACGCTTTTCACTAGGTAACATTTCTTGTCATATTTATGACTACCTAGAATAGTTGAACGACAGACTTTTTCGTCAGATTTCTACAGAATTTCCCGGACACCTCTAGACTTGTCTCATGTCTCAGCTGAAGTAGCTCTCGTACGAACACTGACAGGTGGAACAGTTAAACTATCAAGTCACATGATGGCGCACAATGTACCAGTGTTATGAACCCTCTGAGGGAGAAATCTTGCCTGTGTAGGTTTGTACACGTGTCTGACGCTGAGCCGTAACAAACCAACCGAGTGGCTTGGGGGCGCATGTCAATCATCCATGGACTGACTGTTGAAACGCTTACATTGTGAAACTGTTATGCATATTCGCGCGCTTTTTAAAGTTGCCACCGCTTACGCCGGCCTATTTTTCTTTTGGAGTGCGATGACAAGAATGAGTCCTAGTCAAGTACATCTGTTGCCGCTTTCCGCAAGCCTTCGCCGCTGTCAAAAATCGTACTTAAATAGCACTACAAACAACTTTATCACATGACTAAACGAATTTATCCGACATTTTCAATAAAGACTGACTAGAGGAACTCAACCGGGAACGTCAACTAAGAAACGGTGCATTATGTAACCAGCATTGCGTGCGCGAAAACAGTAATGAGCTGCAGGTTTATCTCACAACTTCACGCTTGGAGTGAATGATTTACAGTTCATTTTAAAAAGGGTTAATTTATCGGTGAAACTGCGGCCGAAGAACCAAAGGCTGGAATAAATGGAAGCACCTGAACTCAAGACAAATAAATTCAAGTTTGACGCAATAAATTTTAACCGAGGTGGAAATCGATAGTTTGGAGGTTCAGTAAATTGGACCTAAGTCGAGTAAAGGCCTACTGATTTGTTTTGGGATCCCAATTCGGTCGAAAAAATGAATGCCTGGACAATTAGGAATGCGTTGTTAACTTGGCTTGGACTAAATGTACAATGGCTCTAAATTGTTTTGAAACTTTCCAGAGATCAAGCTTCTTTCACTCAAGTTCAACCGCGAATGATGCTTTAACTTTAACGGGTTCACCAATGCTGGGCAAAGGTTTTCCTCTATTAGATGTACTGGATCCTCGTCGCACAATGCACAGTATAAAAACACTGGTGTACATTTGATGCTTTGCAGCCATCTACCAATAGTCAGACAAACAACCAACAACAACAGAAAGCTTTGTGACACTAGTTATCAAAAACAGTATTTCAAACAGTATTTCAAAACAGTATTTACTGACAAGTGAATTCATCCAGAAGTTAAACTGTTATTTGTGAAAGATTCCAATTCCTCTCCCGTTTATGATGATCTCAAGCTAACTGTTTTGCATATCGACAACTTCATGTTTCACTTGGCAAGATATTTGAAATACCGAAGTACATTCTCTTGACAGAACACACTACTCATAGGGTTGCTGAAAACCAGTCGACTGTGCGATGCAGGTTTCACCCTTTATGGAGTTTAACAGATTGGTGTAGTCCCCTAATTTTAACCCAGCTCATACCACAGCTAAGCACGAAATTTTATGCGCTCGGTGAAATGCATTCACATCACAAACAAGAAACTGAGTTGGGCCCCGTCAACACCAGGTTAATTTGCAACTGAACGAATTTCGTCAATCGCCTGAAATTTGGTGTTCAGGTAAAACAGAAACCTACGTCTCAAGAAAGATAGAATCTGTCTGGATCGCCCATGAGTTTTTATCAACTTTAGAAGCAGTTTTTACCAAGAAAATAGTCTGTTCAAACTTTTAGACCAAACCATTCACGTATCTATGACATTCCCAAAAGCAACACGTGAGTTTAGTTTCAGTTACTCCAAGAACGTGCCTTAGTTTCATTTTTGCTGATCTATTTCTCATGATCTATCAAAGCATGCTACGTCTCTGAGCGGCGATATGCACAGTAACACTGTGGCTAGCCGGTAACTCACCCGCTGAGTACACCAAGCACCAGGTTGATTAGAAGGAAGGCGCCAATTACAATCAAAGGGATGAAATAGATCCAGTTAAAACGTGGACCGTAGGCTCGATTGGTCTAAAATGTAGAAAGACACAAAGTATAGTTTGACCGTAGTCTGGTTATAGCAGAGGGGCACGTAGAGCTTTTGGATAAAAGATTGACAGGGACTATCCAACTCTGGATTCATACTTGATGCTTCTCCTGAAAGAAATACTATAAATTTTCGAATAAAAATTATTTGTAGCTAATTTAGAACGACATTTTATTTGTATATATACGTGAGTGAATTAATGATCTGCATAGTCCAAAAAAAGAGTGCACGTGATTCTTCCGGGACGCACTGAATAAGACAAGTTTTAACACGAGTTAGTTTTCCCGAAAAAACACTGCTCACGGGGACTGCCAAACTGGTCTCACTAACAAAATAACACAAATCCTATGGTCTTGGGATCTGGGACGATCACTTTGTGGAACTCATTTCACTGCAAGCAGTCTTCCAGTATACTAGCAGTTATTTTAAGTCCAGTGTCTACTCTCTAGCATGACAAGTGAAACTAAGGTGGCTGAATCAACGAGCACGCCTTTTAAAACACATGGTCATAGTAGACGGGGCATCATTACGTTGAGGTCGCTAAATTTGGAGGGGCTGGAGACACTCCCGAGACAGGAATCAGTCGGAATAGAAACAGATTTAGCGGAAACTTTCAAACACAGAAGTTCACTAGAAAAATTGTTTAAACGTGTCATGAAATTCGAAGAAAACATAAATTCCGAAGATGTTGCTGAGCTGAGAAATCAGAATGATAGTTAGACAGTGAGTAATTTGGTTGATCAGTCCATCAGTTACTCACTGGTAGGATTGAAAGGGAACACATTATGTTGGTTACATCACTCCCGGTTAGTTGGCGTATCTCCAGGTGTCTGGCCCCGTTGGGATGCAGTCAATTTGATCAAACCTTGTCTACGTTTGTTTAGTCATTCAAATAACTACTTGGTGTTTGTTAGGATATCAAGTAAGCTTGACTAGTTCTGTCAAATCGTCGTCAGTTTTTTAATGTGTGTTTCATGGAAAGGCGTCTGATAGATGAAACGCTGTTGCAATAATTTGTAAATGGAAGAAAAAAGAAGGCATACCCTGTCACTATAATGACTTTTGGTGTCTTGATACCAGACATTTTACCCACATGTCGACTGATGCCTAATTATCCGGCTTAAACCTGGTTCCATAGATGACACCTGTGGATTCTGTTCCTCAAGATCCACGGTCACTTTTCTTCCGGAACTGAGACAGGGCTGCTGAAGTCAACCGAAATTAAACACCGGCCTACAAAGACTCAGGTTTTAGTGCCAGCAAGATTGTTATGAACTAATAATTCGGGCGAAGTTACTCTCAGAATCATGATCTCACACTGAGGAGAACACACGGATTTGGAATAGAATCTTCTGATAAGGTGGAAAAGAGGGTGAGTAACCGGTTAACCGATTAACCAGTTACAGTCCAAACTCCAATGGAATTTCTTGAGTTCGATGTTGGCCCACAGAGAATACAGCAAACGCTATAGTACCCAACACGTCGTAAGCACAGAAAATGAACTAGGTTTCTTAAATGAATCACGACTTTTGTTAAAAGAAATACAATCATATCATGATTCACAACACTTGGGGCTCCTTGCAGAAGAGAAACATTAGTGGAAGACTGATGTACTGCTGGTACGTAAAACAATAGATAGGTCATCAAGTTTAGAGCTGCATTTGTCTGGAGGCACGTTCGAGGTTTTTGAAGGTGTGAAAACATATTGGCAGTTATCGGTTGGAGAAAAACAACTGGTTTAGCAGCAGGACAATAAAAGTAATTTGTACGATTTGAGTTAACTGACTGATTTTCATATTCCTCCCCTATGGTGAGCTTGCAGTTGCTTTAGGGTTGTCCTGTAAAATCCAACGAAGCCGATGAACCACAATGTCATTTATGGTGTCTGCTGAGCCACATGTTCACCCACCGGGACACTTCATACTCGATGCAAACGAGAAGTGCAAACGAAGAAGGACCAGCGTAGCAAAACTGCAATGGCGAACTCATAAGCCTGCATTTTTATCTGTTAAATCAAGGCCATGCATAGTCCGTGTTTAGTCCGGACTCTTGGGATAGGTTCATGCCAAAGGCCATGCCTCTAAAACATTGCAAAAACCGAGGTCGACCGTACTTCGGGAACGGTGAAAATTTAAGGTAGACTTGACATGGCGCCTGATCAAATGCATGTCTGAGGAATATAATTTAACCATAAAAAGTAAGAATTTTTGCATCTTCCGAGCGTACATCAGTTTTTTCATCCGCGTAATACGGTCCTGACGGTTTTCTCACCTTACCAGCACATCATTAATAAACAAAGCAATTGGGATGAGCTGGGATTCAAAATCAACCAAGGGTAACCCCCCGGAAAAATCGATCGAAAACACGAACTTTCCAATTGCATTTCTTGCTCATACTTTGAACCTCATTGTGAAATGGAAAGCCATGAGCTTTTAAAACTTACTAAGAGTGCCCCACTAGACTTAATTTCCGCAATAAGAGCGTTCGCAAAACATAGTCCTCAGATCTTACCATATAGAGCACGTCTGTCCAGCCTTCCATGGTGATGCACTGGAACACGGTGAGCATAGCATAGCCGATATTATCAAAACTAGTGATCCCGTAATTTGGCCCTTCCCAGTAACCCTTGCAGGTAAAGCCCGCCGGACAGTTGAATGCTCCAACTTGACGGCTGTTGTTGTCCTGTGGCTGACAAGGCACCAGCCCGGGTGCATTAGGAATTGTGTTGGGCAGTTCAGTTGGGTTATCTGTCAGATCAGGGGCCAAACATAAAGAAGTGACAAAAAATGAATGTGGCAACTGTGATGATGGAAAGGTGCGACAAATGGGAGTGGGTAAGAGAACCTAACGAGCCCTCGCATGTTCGTGGTCGATCAGCGCACAAATGAGCAATACTGCAAGACTCGTTTAACTGAGGGTCATTCGGCTTGCCATTGTCCGATTGTTCTGTCGTGATTCGTTAAAAAAATCAACCTCAGTGTGAAGTGTGAGACGGCCTCGTGCATCGAATTCTATACTTAAGAAAATAAAAGAGGGATCCAGCTGAGATCCCTGCAGATTCTAGGTCTACTCGACGACAGAAAAATGGCTTATTAAATTAGCCTTCAGTGAAGCAAGCTGGCTTCTGTCACAAACCGGCAATTACATCCCGAGTCTTAGATCGTTCCGGGGAATGAAACTTAGCCATTTAGGCTTGATCTAGCGAACAAACCACCGACAAGACCAGCAGGGACTCGAACTACCATTATTTTGTTTCTGACTGAATAGTTGTCAAGGTATTTGCCACCACGTAGTGGGTGATGTTTCACTTATAATCACTAGAGGATCTCTGTAGTTGGAAGGAAGAGAAACTGTGTTACTCAGGTAAGTTTCCAAAAAAGAAGGACTTGTGTTTTCAACGTGAAAAGATTTGGAATCACCATACGTGTTGTTTTCTTCAAGGGTTTTTATCGATGGAGGCTGGGAGTAGAGAGGAACTGCTGCAGTGTTCATAAGGACAACAGCAGAACAAATGTAGAGTTTTCTGGAAAATTTCTCCCAACTTATTAAAAGAATCCGTATGCGTATCCAACAACCGAGCTTGTTGATATATCTATGATGATTTGAAATCTAGGGTATATTGTTTTAACCAGAAAAATGATGATACCGATGCTCCTCTCTTCTTGAGGGGGGATGAGAAGCCTTTTTGATGAGCAAGCATGTTCGCCACCAAAGTTCGAATACGCGGATCAATATGCCTTACTCTTCAGGAAGGAGCTAAAAATCATGTCTTTTCATTACTTCGTATGGTAAATGAGCGTACGTTTGCTTAACCTGGTTTCTAAAACACACTAGCAGCAAGATGGTTGATTCAGGCAGTTTTGGGTGAGTTTCGAATCAAAACTTTCCTAATCTATCACCAAGCTGAATGTTTTATCCTCCTCTGGGATTGCATGAAAAAGTTACGAACTTGTATTATTGTGAATGACCCAGACTACCGTCCGTTGCTATTAAAAATTCATTGGTGTTGGGCTAAGCACTAATTTGGTTGATCCGTTAGTATTGAATGATGAACGACAGTTACCATTAAGCACATAGCAAAAATTGATAGAAAACAAGCAACCATGATGGATGAAATACTCGTCTTCTGCGGGAACAGTTCGGTCCATACAAGGCCATTGTTTTAAACTAACCTTCGTTGAAGCAAGTCACGTGAAAAACCCCCGAGTAGAACTCCAAACCAATGATAGCGAAGATGAGGATTGCGAAGAGGACCAGGATGCCAATCTGCAGCAAGGGTGCCATGGCCTTTAGGATGGAAGTCAATACGACCTGCAAACCTAAAATGCACAGTAGACGTCAACCGTCAACGTAACCGATTTAGTTTGTACCGAACTCCGAGCTTCCAGGTCACTAGCTGAGAAGAGACTAAAAATAATTGATGAAATAGGGAAACGATTGTGTCAAAGTCGATACACTTTCATCATTGTCCTCATTGACAATAGTACCAGCAAGAGATAGCGACATCACCGGTTGACAACCATACCAGGAATGCATACTCCCTTTGCTGAAAATATTTCGAAAGCAGACGTCGTGTTACTTTCTGAGAATTTATGGATTTCAACTGATGCCCATGTTTTATTTCATGTCTGTCACTCACACGTTGGTTCCCTTTCTTTTCATTTTAAAACCTTTCCGATTTCACATTGCTTTTGCTAAGTTGTACGCACTCTTCTCAACAATAGTCAACTCAGAAACGAGAACATGCATTTTAGACCGTCACCAAATACATGATCAGTCTGAACCTGAAAATCCTTAGGACTATCACCCAAAATTTGATGACTATACCAACCCCCGCAGGGCAAAAGGGAATGCGCTGTTCTGGGTGCATTATCACTTCATGAGTAACACCTATGAACAGATGTCCTTCATCAGCAGAGTCCATCTTCCAACATCGTGTATTGCTAATCTATAATTGGTGTTCCATACTTACCTGTGCTCTGGTAGTAAGCTGATTGATAGTTTGAATTAATTAGAAAAGAATCATTTGTCCGCTATTGGGGTTTTGTGTACAGGGACACAGAGCAGTGAATAGGCTGTGACCACACCGAAGGATAGACGGTAACAGCTAACACTCTCTCTGCTAGTTCATGATATATCTTCGCAAGACCAAATAGATTCAGGAAAAGAACCGTATTTACTCAGAAAAGGTGCATTTGTCAATCTAAGCCTTACATGAGTACAACAATCACATCACGCCTCCCACTTTCAGTTAAAACAAGCGAGGATAAAGCGTGCCCGGAAGCAGTCCGTCTGCAGTCCGCTGAGTGATGCATCTATCGGTAGCAGGGTTTGCAAAAAATGACATTCAGTGACAATAAAGCGTTGAGTCCAAACATTCTGAAAGTGGTGGTGTGCTGCTAACATATCTTCAAGAGACAAAAGTCTTCAAAAGCTGAATTCAGCATCGCAACTGGGTGGTCGTCACTGAATCAGAAAAGCCTACCTTGTACGATTATTTGAAAGAATGTGAATCTTGTCAACACTTTTTGTTAGGTATCCCGATGGAGGCTTGTTGACTGGACAAGCGCACACCAGTGTAAACCACCTACCTTCTAGATCGGAGGAAAATCGCACTGAGAACGGCTGAGTAATGTGAGTCAGTGAACACAAGCGTGTCCCACATTAAGACGGAAATAAGGACAAAAGTTATATTCAGACATCCGGAGAACGTTCACAAGATGCATGTCTGAATGATGTGTGCCAGAATCAAGGGCAGGGAGCTTCTTGGTTTCCTGTTAATTAATCAATCAATTAGTTAACTGTCTTGACCATACCGGCGTTTCGCCTCCCCATCCATTTTGTTGTGTCATTCCTGTGGGACTAGAAAAATTTGAATTCCACACTTTACATCCGTATATATATATATATATATATATATATAAATGCATGTATTAAGCATCTGTCTGAAGTCGTAATTGACCCATTCAGTTTGGTATCTCCCAAGTTGGGAAGGAAGAGGGATATACAACGAAAACAATCGATAGTGCTTAAGAAGTGAGCGCATTATACAAACACCCAATTAAAAAATAATCATTCAATCAAAAGCCAAATTACGTATCCACTGTGTTGCAACTATTGTCTAACGTGCACCAATCATTGGTGCAAAGTCAGAACATCTCCCCTGAGGCTACAAGACCTGCAAATTGACCCCAAATTAGGTGTGGCTACTTCCGTTCACAATATGCTCACCTAAATCCTGAAAATGGGATAATAAACAAAATTAAATACGCTCATGTGTATGCTCCGCTATACTCAGAAGCCAACTCGAAATGTGAGATTAGGATGAGGGCCGTGTGCATTGCTATATGTTGCCTGTTCATACTGTGCACGATACATATTCTGCTATTGGTCACCAACCCAACAAAAGTGACGATTTATTTGGAAACGTTTTGCGCAAGTTGTTGGTAAATGTCTGAACTAGATCGCACAGTGTCATACCTGTTCCATAGCAAAGGAAATTCTAATAGTTCCTGCGATTGTCTGTGAGATCAGATTCAGGTTGTATGTGTGAGCACCCAAATCGGTCGTGGAATATCACATTCCACTAATACTGCGTAGAACAAGGCACTGCAGCTACTGTGTGAACCGGCAACTGTTTAGATGGTGTGACTCGTTGAAGGGGGGAATTTTGTAATACAAATACTGTCTCGTGTGTCTCTTCTATATCGTATGAGGGTTGCATGTACGGGGTTGTTCTGTTCGTAGACATAGTTTAGAACTACTGTGTGAATGATTTTCTAAGTGACACCATGCGCTATTAAAAATGAGCTAATTCGCGCGTTGAATTAGCTATGCAACTACAACACACGATCACTCTGGAATTGGAAACTCAGCTTTCGTGCTTTTTTCTACACGAAACCGACTGCCGTGAGGACACTGAACAGCCTAGTTATGCTTCGGATTTCTACCGGACAACAACCGATCTATTCTGGCCATTCATTCCACAAAACTTCCGGGTTGTTTCTCTGTTGCCATTTGAAAACGACTAAACTGGTGCGCACATGTACCGGCTGGTTGCATGCGTACGTGTATAAAAGCCACAGCGCTCGGTATATGGAATCGGTAGGGCGAGCGTTTCCACGCCCACATGATTCGTAGCCGTTTGCTCACGAGGCATGAACAAGAACAAGCTTCCGACCCTGGATATATGAGCAACCATTGTTCCCATGTCTACAAGAACGTGTTCCATATCCCAATAGTAGCATTTGTATGTACCACCGAAGATAGTGAGTTCGATTTCCTGTACAAGATATTTCTCTCTACTCCGAGTTAGTCACACGGGTAAACTGCATACTGCGGAACAGTTGGCTTATGAGTCACCAGGGCATGGTGTGTTTAAATTATTTCAGACGGTTGAATCTACTTAACTTATATACCCTCTTAAAGAAAACTACTCACAAGATTGCTGAAAACTCTTCGACAGCCCACGACCGGTTTCGTCCTTCTTGGGGCTCATCAGGTGGGCGCAGTCCCCGAGTTTACGTCAACCTTATGATCTACTTGGAGCATAACTTGGAATATTTTCGAGAAATACACTCATTTGCAAATCCATTTAGTTTTAACGACAGACCCAACTGAATCTCTCGTTTATGATATTCTACAACTGGATGTGCTGCACACAGGCCGCCTCATATTTCAGTTGGCACGATATTCGAGATATCGCAGTAGATTTTCATAAAGGAGCACAACATAGGGTTGACGGAAACTCGGGAACTGCGCCTACCTGATGAGCTCCAGGAACGGCGAAACCGCTCGTGGGCTGTCGAAGAGTTTTCAGCAAACTTGTGAGTAGTTTCCTCTACGAAAATATACTGCAGTATCTCGAATATCGTGCCAACTGAAACATGAGGCGGCCTGTGTGCAGCACATCCAGTTGTAGAATATCATAAACGAGAGATTCAGTTGGGTCTATCGTTAAAACCAAATTGATTTGCAATTATATACCCTCTGGTTTTGTAACTTTCTTAGAGTAACGAAGGAATTGACCTTCACTTCTGTGTGCGTGCAGTTTCAAACCTTACGCTATGGTCATTTTGGATTCGTAGAAGTCCAACATTGTTGGGTTATGTACCTACCTACGTGGATGATCCATCTGAGTTACACTCTCTGTAACACATTGGTGGAATAATTCAACTCTGGGGAACTAGTGACGCTCCACCGAGGAAGCTCACAAATCTCCCTGAATTACAAGTGCTAGTAAGCAGTTTTGGAAACACTGACCACTAATTCGGAAGCATGTCAGCCACATAACAGTTAGTGATGTCATTGAATGAATAACAGCTGACCGACTGAATGATAAGTGGGTAGAAGTTAAGCATAAGGAGAGTAATAGTCCAGATGTCTAAATCCAGTCGCATATCACGCTTGTATTCCATGCTTCGGTTCGATGGAGGACCAAAGTTCCGGTGTGGGAAGCAGCCTATCATAATTTTGCCTGCGATTTTTCCCAACTACTTGAATAACAAATACTAGCGGGAACAAACCGAAACAAGACTTTTTCAAAATCACTTTTTTTATCCGTCTTGTATGCCGTCCTTGTCGCAAATCGAAACATCTACGGATGAGGTACCTTCTTCTCAGTTAATTGCAGAACTTTAAACAATCCAATGTATGTCACTTCACCGGATCGATTAGGGTTTGGCTTACTTGTAACCCACCGGGAAAACCATCAATCAAACAGACGAACGTGGAACGAGCAGAAAAAAACGCTTGGAATCAAGTCTACGACAAGCGACAAAGCGGGTCGTCAAAAACAGAGTGGTAGTGGTTCGACAGTTGTTCGGTGCCTTAAAATAAATCGGGTTGTTCGATGCAGTCTGTCTACGCGGTTGGTTTGGTTCGTATATGGTGGTTTGTGTGATGTTGACTTATTCAATCGTTTTAAATACGTACATAACTTGTCCCTACTGCTTCACGTGCATTCTTTATTTGAGCACTACATTAAGACCACACAGCGGATTTGACAGCGGTGTAGGAACTAGGTAATTTATGTGACCACTTCAAAACCTCTTTCTGGGAATTTTTTGCTGCTCAGACAGTTTTTCAGACAGTTACTTTTGCTTAGCTTTTCCCCTACAATATTTCTTCTCGAATGGGCTTTTAAGTTCAAACGTGATGCACGAATGGGAGCAGAAAGCAAGCATTTAAAAAAATGGTAGATTCTAGGCAGTATTTGAAGACACTAGATGCAGACTCTTTCACCAGTCTGTTAGGTCGCATATAATGATTATTATGATTTATTCGGGCACTCACCAAATCTATGGTTTGCACACAAACGTGTCTCACAGCTACGGTGCGCTAACTGTGACAAGAGTTTATTATAGGGAGTGATAGTTTTTTGAGAGACCTGCTCAGTTCGTGCCTCTCCAGGTCTCACTCTGTCGCATCCTCGGGGTTTGTCCGCGGTGGAGGCAATAGCTGGTAATTAGTGGGCAAGTCAGGACTGAAAGACCAGTGTCCCAGCCGGTGTCACGTGCGTGCGTACTCTACAGTATCCCGCCAGCACCTGTAACAAAGTGTCAAGCGTCTGTGGCGCTACATGACTCCGAAATTCTGACCAGACTAATCGATCGACAGAACCAAGGTACGTTACTGGGTTCTCGTTCGAGGTGTCAGGTCTTGCGCTGACATCAATCAAGCTGGAACATTTTCAGTCAAAAACTCAGATGTTTCCAGCGCAAGCTGGTGGAGTACTGCTAACACGCTCGCCCTGCATGTCACATGTACGGAGTTCAAAACCCGGACAGGGATGGTGACCCCTAATAAGAGCGAAACTCGAGTCCAGTGCTCCCCCCTTTGGTGTGAGTCAAGTCACGTGAGTGTGCATCCTACAATATCTCGCAACCAGCAACAACTGTAAATCAATTTGCGTTTGAGGAGCGCGTTATGACATACATCATCAAACACGAATCAGTTCTGGTCAGTTGCTATAATTTGTTATAACGAGCCCTCGAACCCAGACAGGTGCTGGTAACTGCATCGGTAGGTTCTGTTCCCTGTTTTACACTTGCTAGACGTGCTGCATTTGTTGGTGGCCAGTAACTTTTCGGATGTGCGTTTGCGCATTATCGGTTTGCACTCTGATGTACTGAAGATTTCCTGAAAAACCGAGTTTTGCTTCCCCGCCTCAAGCCAATCTGCATCAGGCGTCTGCAAAGCAAGTGAAGGAAAGGTTTCTGATCAGTGATACGCGCTTAATACAAAATTCCTTCTATCACTGGTGGGCTTTCGCTGCCCTGCTATATGGAACTATAAATAAAACAAGTTAATCGTTCAGTTGTGGCACCATTTCGGTGTCTAGCATGCCATGCCACCCGCAGGAAACACGAGGGCTGGGATACTGCCAGGTTGCCCAAGCCTAGACAGGGGCAGTCGAGAGGCAGAGGTCGGGTTCGAACTACGGACCTTCCGGTCAGTAGGTTCACGCTCTAACCACTTGGGCCATCTCGCCCCTATATGGATCTCTAACCTCTCAAAATTTAACCCGGTCGCGCATTAAGCAGTGAAAGGAGCCAGTTTGAAATGGACAAATGAATATTCTGAATACCTTACTAAATACATCAAGCATCAAGGAGAAAGCGTGCAAATTCACACAAAAGTATCTTTCACTTGGGATATCTTATCCATGGCAATATCAGAATTCCGATTAACCGGGAATGAAAGGTTTGTTGATGGGCCAGGTAGCCTGACATCCTTGTCACTCATCCCCTTTAGATCGGGGAATATTTTATTGCCAGATATTCTCGTTCTTCATTCAATTCTATAAGTAGTCCAGCAAAAACAGCCGAACCTGCAAATCCAACCAGATGGGGACTTTTATCAACTATCATTTTAACGGCTGCAGCCAATCTCGCTATGTTCTTCTCAAAGCTTTTGCACGCACTAATTTTTTCTTAGTATTTTTGGGACCGAAACTTAGCATTTTACAACAAAATTTGGAAGCATCATCTCAAAAAAACAGAACCACCAGACTGATAATTGTAAGCCGTGTATTCCCCTATGTCGACTTCGTTTAATACCTGATACACGCGAGGCGTAACTTACTTGGAACGCCGGAAACAAGCTTTAGTGGCCGGAGAACACGAACTGCTCGCAGTGTCCGCAAGTTGACTCCACTTCCTGACGTCATAAACATGGTCAAAAACCTGAAAACAGCGAAAAAAGGGAATGTACCTTCTTCTTCAGGCTTCTACAATTTGTGCTATTACACGAATTACAGCATAAGCTATCAAACAGCACGAGAGTTATTTTTTCGTTAACCTAATGGATATGCTATTGGACGTATATTGAGTGTTAAGGGTCATTAGCGGTAAGCACTCTGCCGGCTAAGCTATTGCGAAAAATGCTTCTAACTAGCAAAATAAAAAAATATCACTTTTCTCCTTCATCACCACAAAAACTTCTAGCCAGTCCAACTAATCTCCACTGGAGGCATCTATAATTGACCTGTTGGGGACTCTGTCGACCTGTGCGATTCAGAGTATATACTTGCGGATTGTTTAATACGCGCTTCACATAGATTCCACAGCAAATCTGAAAATTTGAGCCATTTAGGGAACAGTCGAACAATAAAGCCTCGGCGTGTTATATCGGTAAGTCTCCAACCCCAGCTGAACATAATAGTCGATCGTGACCAACGTAGATCATATGTGTCCAAGAGCTCCAGAAAAAGCCCGTTTAGGAATAAAAATGAATGCAGAATTTAATTATCTCCCTATTGCCCTACTGAATATATTCCATCATATCCTGAAAGTTTCCGTTCATCAAATTGCATACAAACTTGAGCACAAAATCAGTTTACCAGAGCCAAAACAGTACGCTGGGACAAGACATTAGGAATCCTCGAAAACATGTCATTTCAGCCGTGCTGCAGAATGAAGACCATCCGAGTGACTTTATCGAAGAACACGGGATAAATTTGGAAAGGCAAAGGAAACGAAGTGATGCAACTAAAACACGGTTGTCATCGCTGTACGGTTTAAAATCCAAATCGTTCAGCTGTACACTTTTTCGGCGTCCAGCTGGCATGCCACCAGAAGGCAGCAGGGGGACTGAGTCACCGCCAGGTTGCCCAAGCCTAGACAGGGGAAGTCCAGAGGCAGAGGTCGGGTTCGAAACACTGACCTTCTGGTCAGTATATTTGCGCTCTGAAAACTGAACTATCTCGTCCATCAGGCCCATCTCGCCATCTCACAGTACCTTTTAAAGGGTGCCAAAGTGACAGGTGAGAGCAGCGGCGACTGAAGCGAACTTTCGCAACAGCACTCTATGTTGTCACTAGCCTTGTTCATGAAGATAAAGCAAACAATGACAGAAACCCACCTGGACGAGAGAACTGGTTAGCTCTTGCTCTGTTTACCTTTTCAGTGCGCTTTCGGTAACAGATACCCATGAAAACACCCAAAGAATTTAGTCCTTAGTAGCTTAAAACTTCTGTCCAGTTTGGTCACTGGAATGCAACGAGGACAAGCAACTAGAAACAGTCACTCCATCATAAGTCGTCAAAACAAAAGCTATCTATTACACTGCCGAGTTATTGACTATTCCAAGCTGTACGTTTCATGTGTGCAATCAACTGGAATTTACGGCAGCCTTGTCTTGATAAGTCCATGGTCATATCTACAATCCTATTACTTTTACCCAGCCAGATCTGGGTTCTAATGAGCTTTGCCCCTTATTTGCAATTTTACTGGTCCATCTGTTCGTCTGCCTGATTTTGAAATTATGTAGGCTGCTGATGAAGAGTACTCAGCAGCTGAATTCAGTTTCTTTTACTGTCATTTGATACCATGAAGTTTACGAAAACATCAGCTTTTGGGCAATGTGCCCAAACCCCTCCACAAAAAAAAACAACTGGTGATCTCTGATTCCGACGGCACAATATAAATAGTGGGTGGTAAAATATCCTCGCTTCCTTTTTCCTTCATGCTAATGAGATGGCCACCTGTTGGAATGGATGAGGCCACAAATTGGTTATTTTTTCGATCAGCACGCTCTACTGTCTTTCCGTACGTGCTGAATATCCAGACTGACAAACTGTATTGTTATTCATGTGTTTTTTAGGTACAGCCGAAAGACGGAATGTAATATTGAAGCAGAAGCCACTGTCTCTTTTCGGACAACTGTAGGGCTCATTCACCCACTTCCGAGGCCTTCTAAACACATAACTTAATAATGTGGAAGGACAACCGACAGTAGAGTTGAAAAATTTCGCTTCAGACGAACTCACGGTGGTTGTGGACACAAGTGGACTGAGGTCTACAGGCAAGAAAAGTAAAACACACCTGCACATGAATCGGGAATAACACTGTGGTACAAAAATTACCCGTTCTTTTATGAGCTAAATTTTAATTATGGGATTGTGATTTTCGAAAATGCGTAGATTGGAAAACCAACTCTGTATCTGAGCAGTTTTGATTCATTTAGGCGTGTCTTGATCTGCATCTATTTTGTTGTCTTGGGCGGCTGAGAAATTTGGGACTAATTGCCACGCGTAGTTGTTAGACGAGAGACAAACACCACTTTTTGCAGAAGGACTGTCAGAACACAACTGCCACAAAAAAGTCGTATGCTTAGATCACTTTCGACCTAGGCTTCAGCTGCTGCACACGCAAACAGCTTAACTTCAGGTTACCCTGGAAGTAATTGTGAACATTTTTAAAGTGTGCGTGAAGTGAGTGGCAAGTGCAAATTCTGCTAAAGATTATCAAGGAAAACGAATATATCAGAAGTTTGCGGTACCTTTTTACTTGACTGCGTAGAATAAAAATTGTTTGAGAAGCATTTCTTTGATGACAAATCAAACCGTACAGAAGATAAAGCATTATTTGAAATCACGGACAGTCTTGGAAGACACTGTGGTAGGATGACGAATCCGAATTAGAGGAGTGCTAGTCAGTCTCTTACGCCAGTGGGCTTGCATTGTTCTGGTGGACCGACTAGACGAGTATCAAAACGCGTAAAGTAGCCTTAGGTGGCCTTGGAACAAAAATGACATACAGTGATCCCGTGACTCAGCTAACGGAGTCCAAATATCATGCTCGGTCTCCAGAAGCAACAAGCTTGAACCGCTTGGTGTATATGAGTCAGGAAATTGCGTCCAAAGCAAACTCGCCTGTTTCAACTTCCACTTAGAGATCACTTGCGATCAACACGAATGCTTTGGCTTGTCCTTAGCGTAGTGTTAGAATCAGGATTCCTGTTTTCTCTACTGTTCACAGTTTTGGCCGTAGTGCTACAGTTGCTTCGCAACTTCCACTCCAGTATTAGGTTTTGATATTTTTGCTCACCTATTGCTCGGTGATCCTAAATCTTTTTGTTTAAGTGTTGCCGAAATCCAGCACAATACAATTTATAATAAAACAATATAAATATATACATATACAAGTATGAACATATAGATGTATAATAACATAAATATAAATACATATTTCAATTTACTATATTATAAGAAACATAGGATCTCTACCGCTAAACAACAGCTGAATTTTTCAATTTATATCCATGTACCCCTGCTCACATTGTATATTCCGTCCAAGCAAAAATTTGTTTGGATTTAGGAAATTCTATTTTGATCTGGTAATCCAGAAAATAAAAATAGTCAATCATGTCTGAAATGGGCGAACAAAAAAATTAGACTCAACTTACAAGGAAGCGGGATATTTAAAAATTCTTGCTCCCTAGCCTTGTTTTTTTTGCAAAGCAGGATACTCGCATTTCGGCCGTAAGCGTTTTCAAGCGAGTGTGTGGGCAAAATCAAGCAGGACATAATTGATGAGCACCATTCGTTGATAAACTCATTTCAAGTTACTGGACAGTAGCCTGATGTAGCCTACAAAATCTGTTTGACTCGGTCCTCTGAGAATTTGTCAAGCACTCAAGTATCCTGGGCCTTACATTGCCTTGGCAACAGAGTTTGAAACTTTCGGGCTGTTGTAACAACTATGCGCGGTGCGCCTTTTGGATTTCACTTTGTTCGGTGCTTTTCGTGATTTTTTTTCTCGCCTTATCAATGAGTTTTATTCGTATATTTGTTACTCGAGATGGCTGGATAATAGGTAGGATAGGTCGACTATGATCACCGTATCGGTCATTGCAACTAAACGTGTTGTCAGCATGCAAAAAGGAAGAGAATTGACTGAATATTGCTTGTGGAGGGTGGAATATTGTCCAACTCTATTCCTTAGAAAAGATGGGTAGCCCACAAACAGTGTACTGCACTGACACAAAAAAACCGTCTGGTCGCTCCTATGCAAGTTATTGTTCTATCTTATTGAATCAGCTTGCAAAATCTCTTAGAAACTTAATTCAGATCCACTTGTTATCCCCAGGGCAAGTTGAAAAATTCACTCAAGTAAGGCAAAACTTACCCGGTTACAACAACAATGAAGTCGAGAATATTCCAAACGTTTCGTAAATATGACCCGCTGTGCAGTATGAATCCCAGAGCGATGATTTTCAGAGAGGCCTCAAAGGTAAAAATACCCATAAAGTATTTCTCGGTCATTTCCTGTTCGACGAAAAAGAGAATAAGTTGCGTTAAGCAGGTTCCTCACGTCAGTTTTTCGGAACGGAGCGGGTTTGAAAGTGTTACAACACGGTTAGGATCTCATGATATTGTTGCTTAGAAATATCAGATTGTATTGCTAGTTCGCGTGACTGGCGCAAGCTTCCCGCTTAGACAGTGAAAATGGACGATGAGTCAATGCTACGTTTGCAAGTTCCTATGTGGCTGTGACCATACATCTTATCGTTCATCATCGGTGACCTCTTCACTAAAGGTCTTCTGCGATTTTGCCTTGAACCATAACTTGGTGTCCGCTGGTTGCTCCAACCGAGGCTACAGCGGGCTTTTAGCCGGGCCACCTGACTTGTTCTGCTACTTCGGATTGTACTTCAGCTAGATACCACGATGCAAGTGAGAATCCGGACAGGTGCGATAACAAGACCGTGAGCCCATTTGTCCCGCTCTCCAACTGCAGCTAAATCCGGTCGATGAGGAGTGAAGGAACCAGTTATACATCTGCCAAGGTAGTAAGTAACTGACTAGGTAACTGGTCGTAGGACGTGTTTTCACAAAAGTCAGCATGGCAGCACTAGACATCGGAAAGTCAAAGTCCATTAGGGTGAACGTTTGGTCAGGTCATTCGGACAGTGTCGGTCAAACTCAGCTGTGGATCCGACCAAATTACTTAACTACGCAAGCACAGTTCTTGTGACTGCCATGAGGTCCAGTAAAGGTCAATGATTAACGTGAGTGACTCTCCAACCTAAATTATTCAACAAAACATATCTTTAACTAAATCAAGCGGGAAAATGCTGGCAATGTTTTGTATTGTGAAGAAATTCTAGTCAAGGGGTGCATCTTCATTTCCTTCGGATCTTTTGCGTCTACAAGACAAATAACACTTCACCTGGATCCATATTTGCATGTGGTCCCATCTCCGTCTTCGGAAACTTCCTGGAATGGTACACTAAAACTGTCATCTACCAGGCTAGTGACATTTGGTGGCAGCAGCGTGTTCACTTAATTACGTGCAATGTGGGTCCGCTCGGTATCTGGTTTCTGAGTCATGTCAATTGCGACAGTGAGATTTCGTGAAATTTGTGCTTGCATCGTCGTTGTTCGACCGAGAGCAGTCACTCACTTTTCGATGAAATTAAACCGTTTTCCATCCCATGTATGGGGGCTGAGACATGGGTGCTGATGTACTTTTATCCAAACGTGATAAGTATCTGGTCAATATTGTGTGCACTGTGGCTAAAATCAATTTGGTCTAATCAATATTGTGTGCACTGTGGCTAAAATCACGGATGGCGTGGTAGGTGAATGGCTAGTTGCTGGTTACAAAAAGGCGTTTGCTTTACGGTTGGAGTTGCAGATGCAGGGGCTTTACGACAACAGCAACTTGAGTCAGCAGTTGAGCTGCAGCCAAACATCTTAAGAGACGGCTGTGGGTGGAATGGAACGGGCGTGGATTATTACTTGTCAAGGTCAAACAATGCTATTAAGTAGACACTGAGTTTTACCTTACCTGGCTTGGAGGAATCAACTACCTTAAAAGTGAAGCGACCAATCAATTCCCCCACAATGAATGTTTCCAGTATCCTCGACCTAGGTTCACTAGTTAGTCTGTAAGTTAGAAGTTGATGTCGTGGGCATTTTCGACACGTCAGACTCCTTATATGAACAAAATGTTTCACTTGGGGGTGCACAAAGTGTCAACATACCAGAGCATCTTTAAGCCGAAAAATAGCCAGGCTCGCCATACTGCACTCGTAGATACCAAATGGGCAACATTGGGGGCGCAATATCCGGGGCACTCAATCCAGTCGGGATGAAATTTTCTATCGCCAATCCCAAAACATTTGTTTAAATTATCGACAATTTGACTTATTCACAGGGTAAAAAGCATGCGTTGGGGTTCTTGCTGGTCGCTATCATCACGAGGAGGCACCCACAGCGAGAAAGGGTTCTGGCATTTGCAGGTGATTCTTTGAAGAAGCGAGTGCTGTAAACAGTTTTTAGGACACGTGTATGTTGTCTAAATCGTAAAAATGACCAACGTATTAGCTTCATGTTAAAAATACTGTCGATGACTGCGAAACGCACTATAGCCACATTGATCCCATAGTCCTTGAAACAAAAATACCACCTGACGGTATACGTAAACATAGCGCTTTTTTGTGTCTCGTACACCACTTTTACGATTGTAACGCTTCCAAAGGTCAAATTCTACGTACAGCTTTTTCGCTAAAGACAACGAGACAGACTGATGCGTTTCGTGCGTGACATTAAACAGGATTCAGCTAATTCAATTACGACCAATTATATGGATTCAAGTGCTGATCAAATTTTGTACATCTGATGCAAAGCTGGTTCGGTCTACCACAGCCGACGCGAAATACGCACTATTTGCAGCCGAGTTTTCCTCGGTGATCAAGCAGTCATCCAGCGAATTCTCCTACTGGCTGGATGGTGACGCTGCCAGAATTCTCACACTTTTATTTGCGAGTGGAAGTGATTATTTGTTGTGCTCTAAAACCATAAGGCAAGCATCAATGAGACGCCGAATCAACGTGGAATCCAGCTAGTAGGTCGGGCTGGGCTCGGGCTGACTGCCCAAGTGAACCACCGTTTTAATTAGCAGATGTTTGACAGAGCAGACAGCGAAAAGTCAAGAAAGTACTTACCAATTTTTCGGAGAGAGGACGCTTGTCTTTGCTTGGCAAGTGCACTTCCATTGCAAGACATACACAGTTGGCTATGATGGTGAACAGAACCATGTACTCAAACGGCGTACACACGCACATGGCCAAATAGCAAACGAGGAGATACTGGTTAAGGGTAAAAGCTGTGGGAAAGAATATTGTCTGGAAATTTTCAATAACACACAATAAACCGGAAGTATGAAAATTACGTTCATCCACATGCTGAGTGAAACAACACATGAATTATTTTTGTGTTTTTCACCCCTTGGAGTTCGATACTTGTCCAAAGCGGAAAATAATGTACCCTATTTATGTAAAAATATCTAAGCCCTAGATAGGCCCCTACGTGTATCTATGTAAGTTTCAGACATTGGAACGGGTGTGGAATACTTGTATCTACCCTACCCCCTCCCACACACAAAGTAATCACATCAATGTTTGCTTCCGTTCTCATGAAGTCTTAGAACTTTACACAATTCTTTTGAAACATTTCGGAACTGTTCAGGATTGCTGTCTGCTAATAAAACAGGAAAAACTTCCCAGAATCGTCAAATTATATTTTGAAATCCAGCGAATGGTTTGCATGGAAGGTCTGTTGTAGAGAGGTAGAGCTGTTGAGCTAGATGGATGAAGTTTTTAGCTGGAAAGTCTTACAATCCTGACCGAAAGCATAAATGCAAGAAAGCTTATGGCATTTAAAAAAGAGATTAAAGGCTTAGTGAGGATCAGGAATGTTCAGCATTGAAAAAAAACCTCTTTGAATGTGAATGAAGTACAAATTTCGCTTTTTTTCATTTAATTTAATACTGCCACTTGAACACTTTGACAAGGGTAGAAAAACTAATGCATTTGGTCACGTACTCACATCCGTCTACGGATGTGACGACAAACAGAACCGGCGCACGAACTGGCTGATCATAAACGCTTGCAAAGATGAGTGGTTTTTAATGTTCGATGATGCTATACTGAATATCTCAGTAGCCAAAGTCCCCGTTAATTTTTTCACGGTAATCACGCCAGCGTCTTCAGTCATACTTTGCGTATCCAGAGCTTATATGACCGTCCGGCCAGGAAACCTGCTTTCATCCGAACAAGATCGGGAAACGATTCGATCTTATAAAGTAGTAATAATGTGCCATTTTCTATTTAAACAGCACCGTTATCGAAATGGATGTATGATATTTTTGGCTTCAAAATTAAGCGGGAATAATGAAAAAATAGTGAAGTCAGAAAAGAAGGAGTCACGTCAACCGTCTTGCTGGTGAGTGCCACAAAATTTCATGTGTTATCTCACGCAACCACTCAGTTTGATTCAAAACAGAATAACACATACGACTGCTACGTGCGCAAAATGAGAAAGAAAAATAAAAGGTAGAAATTTATCGATTACGGTGCTGACTCGTTCTACAGTCTGAGTGTATTTTACCAGTAGATTGCATGCTGTTTTCAAGCAGATGGGTATTTACTTCTCATCTTTTGTCACAAAGGATACAATGACATGTTGAATTTTCACTTTGCACTTGGACCTTTTGGTAGTGAGCTGAAAATCTATGACCCACTGGCTATTCTATGGTGCTTGAAAAACAACTAAAATAACGTTGCATTCAAGTGAGAAACCTCTATGGATCCGAATATTAAGGAAACACCGCGTCAGCGTTATCAGTAAATTTAGGTAGACATACCTTTTAGTATGGCAGGATACAGGAAATGTTCCGTAATATACTGCTGGGCATGTCAGTCCTAACCACAACTGGTATTGTGGGGAAACACTGTGAGATGCGAGCACTAGATTTGTTGAGTATGTTGAAAAAACAGTGTCTCACAAACAAGCTCTCGTCCTAGGGGAAACTGAATGAGAGACCTTTCATCGCCATCTGAGCATCCACTCTCATGCTGACTAATGCGTCTAGGCACAATAATAGATGCGCCCCTTGTATCATTCTGACCTTTCGAACTGGAGCGGTTAAGCAACAGGAACAAAGGTGTAAGTCACCTCGCTGTCGACCTTACTTTTCAGATGAACTTGGATGATTAAATTGTGACCACAGACATTGGAAGTCTGCTTTGTAAACATTTCGCTTTCTAGCTCTGTTCCTGTCGTGTGAATTTATTCACAAAATCAAGTGAAATATTGGTGAGGTTCTCGGCCTAATACCAACCTAGTTCATATTTCCAGAAAAATGTTGGATCCAATCTCACATGTATGTTGTTTCCTGAGACCAGCTGGTTGGGCATGTAAAGCTGAAAACTCAGTTAAACTTGGGTTTTCTTCTTTCATGCGCACCGAGCAGCTAAGTTTTTTTATTGTTCTGTCATCCTAGAATGTTGTTCAGACACCTTCCTATGAGCGAATGCAGTATGCATGTCATGAGTAAAACAATCGTTAACACCTTACGTAGTTAGTGGCAACAGGAGCAAACAACAATTGGCAATGTACGCAGTACGGGAAGGTGGCCTTGGCCTAGTTTGGAGGCGAAGCCGACATAGTTGTTGACACACGGAATGAAATATTGATTTTTTAAAATATCTTTTGCAAACCCTGTCACCTACGCGATGAGTTGACTGAACAATGTACGGTTATGAACTAAAGTCAGATTGAATAACATCTAATGCTTGGATCAAATCTGGTTCATGCGCTGGAACGAAATAACTAACGGCTTCTCAATAAATGGGCCAGTTACGTTTGCACTACTCAAAAGTTTATCGATATCCCAAATATCGTAGCAACTGAAAAATGAGGCGCCCTGTTAAAGCAAATTCACTTGAAGCAAATCAACTTCCCCCACTCGGGCCTTCCGTCAAAATCAAATTCGTGTGCAAATGCGTGTATTTATCAAAGCTAAAATACACATTCTTGCGGCCAGAATCAACATTCAAGTTGCAACTTAGGTAAGATGTTTGGATTTTTTTACGTATTTTAAACACTGAAGTACAAAAGCAGTCCCAGATGAGCGAAAAAAATAAAACAGACGGAGTTTTTGTGGAACAACTACTTGAGCTATTCCCGCCGTTTCATGGTGAACCAGTGGCTAAGCCATGGTAAACGCCCCTTACTTTCCCGGAAATGATGATGACTTGCACTGAATGCATCTCCGACAGTCTCATCCAAAAGCGCATTTATCCCTAAATAGTTACAAAGGTGGTTCGACCCAAATGTGCCTGTCTTTCTTTTTTAATTGTCAGTTAAAAAGAGATATTTTACTCCTAGGATTTCGCAAACGTCATCGCTTACATCGAGTTTGAATTCGGAAGTCAGACCGCCCCCACCACAATGTTGAAGTACAGATAACAATAAAGAACAACTAAAAATGCGAGTAATTTCGATTTCTTTGTCCCAAATTTAATGGCTTAATAGTGACGTAACATTTCCATCTGTGTGTTGGTGAAGTTAACCAAGTTTGTGCCAGAATCGTATTGTGCTATTTAGCTACTCGAAAGTAACTCCTCAAGCTTCTTTCTATTTTGAGATGATCGAACTAGGACATTTATTTCATTGGGGACGCGGACATAAGCATCCACTAACTTGAGAGCAGTCCTTATCAGCCTCCTGATTCATGTTCAAAGGGCCAAATGTCGATTATTCATGCGAAACAGCTCAGCAAATATGCATACGTTCCATTCCTGCTGTAAGCTGAGTAGCTTGGTCAAAAAAGGTTTTAAAAAAAAAACAGGAAATCACACATAGGTTCAGCATGGTGAACGGTGTAGCCGTCACCCACTCGGATGAAAGCAGAGCAGTAGAGTCATGCACTGGGTCTCATCGCTCTTTCTGAAATTGCGTGGACGCAATATGTTGGCCACCGAAAAGTTCACAGGAAAGCACTTCTTTACTTCCTTGTCGTGCGTACGAAAAACTATGTATGCACTTCCGATGGTCGCATTCCGTACAAACCAACACAAATCTACACAGTAAAAGAACTTGCACATTTGGAACAAACTTGGCAGCAAAACACCAACAACAAGCCCCTTGTGGTTTAAATACTTTTGCTCTTTTTATTTCGAGTTCGTTTTTTTTATTTTTGGGTTTTCATTTACTCGCTCAGAGACTAACCCATGCGCACGTATGCAGTCCTTCAAAAAATCAGTAACATGATGCATTAAACGGAAATTATAAGGCTCGTTATTGAGCAATCGTAACCGAAAAATACAATATTCTAAGTGAGAAAATTAGGCATTTCTAGTAAAGCTGCAACCCAACTTAAATAATTTGAAGCCAAGGTTAAACAAAACCACCTCAAGCTTCGCAAACTGAAGAAACCAGTTTTGTGAGGGACAATTCGGGGACAATTTTTATGGTTTATCCATATCAGTTAGTAATGTGTCGACAAAAAACGATATGTCATGTTTAGATTCCTCCGAACTCCGAGCAAACGGGTGAAAATCACAGAGGGATTTTACAGTCTTTCAGTGAAAAATCTCTCCCAGGATTGTCACATTTTTTATTATTTATTTTAGTGTTAAATCATATGAGCTGACAGCTCGTGATCTAGCTTTATGACAGCCGGACAGCAATGCAGTTCGTTTCTGCAGAGAACTGCGAAACGGACAGCTTGTATTTGAATCTGAACCGTATCGGTGAATACACAAGTATGATGGAATTGAAATCGTTCTTATTGGACTGAATGGAAAATGAACAAACCAAAGGTTTGCAGCTTTTCGAATAGTAGGACTGAAATGGCATACAGAAACTAGAATTTCAACTGTATTAAATACAAACTGTGGCTAGGATAAATGGTTTTACTTTGGAAACACCCGCAATATCAATCCACTCACTAACATGTTCTTGTTCATTCAGCTCAGCTACTTTCATGTTTAATGTAACTAGGCTGTTTTAAGCAACATTTGGTGGGGTCCTGATAAAGTCTGCGTTTTTCTTCCTATTAGGACTCATCAGCTGGAAATTTCTATAGGTGTAACGGTGATACTATTGATGGGGGGCACGCGAGTAGTATGTGTTGTCCGTGGAATTTTGCTTTGCGTCTTTTGAAAAGGGAAGATCTGTTGCGGAATTCGTGGAGTCACTTTGTAGCATTTGCTTGGACTTGAGCGAGGAATGATTGGAGTCAATGAATCCCCAGGAAAGTTCAAGAAGACGCGTTCGGAAGAAGATGGGTGTCCAGCTTTTGTAAAGGAGATGCTTCCCTATTCAATGGCCTGTAACCAGTCAGTTAGCAGTTCTTAATAAATAACTCCGCAGCAAACGCCTTCTTCCTTTCATCGGTATCGGTCACTCCCTTCCATCTAGGTAATGCCTTCGCTCGGCGGTTTGTGCAGTGGATGAAGGTGCGTTAGATGTGTGATTTGACCGAATCTTTTAATTCCTGATTAGGTTTTACGGAAATCCTTGGAATACCCTTAACTGGGATGTCTCGCAAATGCAGAATTAACCGTTACTTTTCCAAAGGATATCGTCAAATTCATGGACATACTCATATCAAACAGCAATGCTGTATTCACTGGCAACTTCCGCACACACGGTGATCAATCAAAGTAACAGAACTGTTTGAATTCACGCCCAGACAGAAGCGTGAACTGTGCTTAGTGCTTCGCTGATCAGCAGTAACAACGAACGCAAATTCACAGTTTAAATTTTCAGATTAAGTTACAGGATAACAAAACCACCATTTGTATAGTTAAGCACTCGTTTGCAAATTAAAACAGTGGTGTTGACAGATTCAAGCAAAACATCGTCTGAATGTGCCAATTAAATGTTTCATTAATTTCCAATAGGAACGATATTCGGTCAAAGAATATCAGTCTCACCTTACCACCATTAGTTCGTAAATGAATCATCAACTTCACATACCTTCAGTTAGGTTCTAAAGTGTAAACATGACTGATTAAAACATTTGAGGGGTTCAGAAAAGGCGAAACCGGAACCCAGCTGTTTCGGGTTTTCCCAGATCTCCAAATTTATGCCACTCCAGGGAGGACGCAGATTTATCGCCTCAAAGTATTCGACACCTGGCACTTGTAACATACCAGCACATGTCTTTGCGGGCATGAAACTTCGCATTTACTCGGTCAGTTTACGGTCATGAACACACAATCAAGTACTTTTGTGCGTACGATCCAAATGAAGCTACTTAAAAACTGACTGTTGACCCGTTCGCCAAGCTCAGCAGACGTTTCGTCGTCATTCAAGGGAACATTATCAGCAAACACTATGGATAAAGTAGCCCGAGCTACCAGAATTCTGACACGTTGTCAATCCACATGACGTCCCAGAAACTGGTTTTCGATACTACTGAAGAGATTAAGGTATGTGATAACAATCGCGTCATCGACCGAACCCAAGAACGACAAAGCCTCAATGAGGACAAAAATAGGTTCAAAAACGCGGACAGGTCTGACATCCATGAACTAAGTTCGAGTTATGGATTTCCGAGGCTCCTATCAAATGGTTAACTATAAACTAGAGTATGTGATCGGGAAATAGTGACCAGAGGCTTGAGTGATGCGGTACACTGATTAGATTAAAAGTCGAGTCTCTTTCTTGTCGATAGTATGAGGTAACTTGGAAATTCAGAGAGTTAAGTTGATCCATTAGGAGTAGCTCAGAAGCACTGTGCTGGCGTTTCATCCTTATTGTAAATCACCAGCAGTAAGTATCTCAAGAAAGTCCAGACTGTTTCGAACGCGCGATCACGGGTTAATGGTTTGAACATCAAAGCTTTTGGCTACGGGCGGCTAATCATCAGTGTAATGAGCTCGCGCATAGAAAGGATAGGTTACCACTCACTTTCCAATCACGGAAGGCACGTGGTCACGTGCTACCCGAGTGTATATTTCAACTGGAAATTCCTCGCTCGCCACTTGACAAACATTCTTCCTTCTGAGCTTTTTATAGATTTTGTCCTTGCTCATGCCACAATTTACTCAGCTTTCCTACAACAGCACCACACTTGTATTACAACCTGTTGTCAAAAGACACTAGGAGGTATCCTTTCAGGGGCTCGTATTCGTTTTCAACGGTTCAATCTTCCAACGTAAGCGATTTCTTATATACTATAACATGTATTATAATACAAAAAGCAAATAGGACAAAGGAGTCACTGATAGCACAGCGCATACTACCCAAGTCTTAAATACCCTCTGAGTAACAAACAAACTCCACACACTAACCGAATTGACTCTGTGGAAAAACTGAACAGCTGGAAGTCACTCTCCGTTTACATGTAAACTATTTGTGGACATGTCACTTGAGAAACACGTTACGAACATGTTCTCATGCATTATTCCAAGAAAATGGATTAAGGTGATTGGACCGGAACTACTGAACTAATTCACAGACGAAGGCACTTCGGTTACGTTGAGCAAAGTCTTGGGAAGGAGAACAATCTGCGAAAGTGTAACTTATGTTGGTCGAATCAAACAGGATGGCTTCGAGATGCAAAACTTGAGTTTGTGAAAGCGAAGAGACACAAAAATAGTGGAAAACCCCTCAGTAACTCCGTTTTATCATCGGTGTGAAATACTCCCCTGGCAATTGAACGCCATAATGTGACCATACAAATTAGTCCCCTGGAGTGCTGATAAGTTACCGAGCTGGAATGATTTTTAGGTTAACTTATGCTAGGGTCCATAAAAGCTGAGGTGGGTTAGCCTGCCGAGCCGAGAACTTGACCGTTTGTGAATAGCTTCGGGTTGCCACGCTCCCGTCACCCGCCTCGTTGCAGATAATGTAACCTAATTAGCTGGTCGTATATGTGGAGAATCCTCGAGGATCAAGGGTCGTCCAGACAAGACATTTGTAATAGCTCTACGTGCACATTTCGTAAATAATAGTAACTGCCCTCAGTAGTCAGAGCGTTTGTTGCAGTGAGGTTGTGTCTGCTTTCTGATATTCCTTTGTTCCAGTGCGACCTCATTCTAAAGAGGTCTCCCTCACTCTACAGCCTCACCTATGTCTAGGCGTGAAGCTGTTCTGGGTTTTACCTAAGAACTGGAGAGAGCGAATGTTCCATTTGTCGATTTAAATCAGTGTGACCTGCTGAGTAGCTTTGCTCGAGAGCAGTCAGCACTGGGTGGACGGATACTACTTGGTTTCGGTCAAACACATCGAGCAATGTACGAGATAGAATCAGTTTCCCACTAAACCTCCCTTAGGGGAAGTGGTTCTGAACACCGAATCTCGCTACCCTTGTAACGGTAATAGCACTGATGGGAAGGCACGCGAGTATTATGTGTTGTTCGTAGAATTTCGCTTTGCGTCTATTGAAAAAGGGAGATCTATTGCGGAATTCGTGGAGCCACTTTGTAACATTTGCTTGGATTTGACCGACGAATGATTGGAGTCAATGAATCTCCAGGAAAGTTCAAGAAGACTCGTTCAGGAGAAGACGGGTGTCCAATTTTTGTAACTAAGATGCAAATTAAAGTTTTGCTTCCCTGTTCAATGATCTGTAACCGGTCAGTTGGCATTTCCTAATAATAACTCCACAGCGAAGGCCTTCTTCCTTTCACCCTTCCCAATAACTGTTTAATATTGTACCTTCCTTTTAAATTGACAGAAAACGTCTAGCGAGAATCACTTAAACGCAACTTTTTAACATGGGTCAGGAAGAGGTTCGAATGTCTTCAGAGAATGATTATGGTGTTCCTGAAATTGAGTTGGACCGTATGGACCGTTGGTTGGTCTCCGTTCCTAATGTAGTAGAATAATAGCCACCTCTGAATCATTCCAACTTTCAAATTAATACGAGATTCTCTAGCAAGGCCTGACAACTTCTTTTCTATCTTATAGCATGGAGTTTGGAATCCATCATATCATGGTACACAGGTAGTCAAGGTTTGTGCAGACCTATGTTGGTAATTTTTAGAAGTGAACGATTGTTGCTGCCTTTAAGTGCGAACACTAGTTGCCATGGTTACACTGCACCTGTAGGAGTATGGTGAGCAGGCATCCGTTCTGGATTGGTTTGTTACATCGAGGTATGTCGATGAACCCCTGCTCACAATAGGTGATGCCAGCGGTTTCCGGTGATGCGTATGTGATCCATCTTGACATCCTGTATCCGTTGTAAATCCGAGGAAATATCAACGGAGGGCAAATAGAAGGGACAGTTCTGCAGCTATACGTATGCCCAACTGATGAACAACAAATGCCGATTCAAGTGAGTACAGTGGAACAACTGAACCCCATAGTGCATACCAGGCGGCATTTGGGGAGCCACATCACTCAGAAGGTACATCCTAGATACATACACATGGCTGGCTAATGGCAACCGTCCTTCAGATAGGCGTGAGCTAAGACGGTCGTGGCGAGCAATCATAGCGCGTTCCGGAAAGTAAGGGGCAAAAGGTGCTTTGTCATGGTAGCCCTGGTGATAACGGTTTTGTAGGTTCACTACGTTGTCATTCACAGATATGCATGATTACCAAGTGTGTAAAGCAGTCACATCACATAAAACAAACCCCCCTGTAGTACGTACACACAATGGTTTGTTAGGACATCCTGAGAACAAGAGACGTGTGAAGAGGTTTTGATCGTCAACCCTTCCAGGAGGACACAACTGCATGAATGCGATATTTCTTTGTTCCTAGAAATTGCTTCCAAAGTGGGTTGTTTTGTGGGCCTGTATGAGATTCTGCTTCAACCGTAAGTGAATGTTTTGCAACCTGGCTACTCAGTTATCGATGGTTCATCACTGAGAACATTCACCTTTTGAGCGAAATTCTGGGTCTTGGTAGGGACGGTAACCTTTATATTGTAATTCCCGAACCGCATCTCAAATAGCTTAATCCTTGATAGCGCAGAAGATATTGCAGTGTATTCGATGAGTCGACGTGAGCGTATTACTGATTTTCGTATAAATTTCCGAGATCATTCGAACATTGCGAGTCCTCGAGGAAGACTGGCTCTGGAGCACGTCCACCAGTGAGAGACACGGGGGCTAAGGTTTCTCGCTCTACAGTTGTACCACTTTAACTGCATAGTATGATGGATGCGAAGTGAAATAATTTGAGTTCTAAGTAGACTTGTCTCACAGACTTACTCGAAACAACGCGGTCAGCGAGGTATCATATCATATGTGATGGTTTTCTACGGGAGGTGTATCGTTCAGTTTCACATCACTCTCGTTTTGAACAGTCGTCCTCCTGTCCTGGCGCAATTATTCA